TAAATTATGTTTTATTATGTATATTATGTATATAATACATATATATTAATATATTTATAATATTCCATTAATTTAAATTCCATTAAATTATGTTTTAAGTAACGTTTAATTGGTTATTTTGTCAGATTCATCTATATATCTCGCAAGCTTCTATGATTAATGACATTTTACAATTCGAAATGAGTTTATTGTACCATATCAACTATGATATTTCATCTTCTCATAAAGCAATTGAGTGTGATACTATATACCAATTACAATTATAATTAAAATTATACTTATAAGAATTATTATTTATTTATTATTATATATGGTTCTCTTCTGTATAAGTTCAGGTAGGAGAACAGTGATTTAAAAATTTTATTAAAAATCGAATTATTAACCCTTTGCACTCGAGAGAGGATCCTCAGTCGCCATTTAATGAGATTATGAAAATTGATGTTAATTAATATATCGAATTTTAAATTAGCCAACGATGAATGGAATGGCGAAGAAAAATAATTCTACGTTCTAATTTCTATACGATTTCTTATTTACAGGATTAAAAATATCCTAAAAATTGACTTCATGCCAGAAAGTCTTCGAATTGCTGTTTTTCTGTGACGAAAAATCGCTGGGTGCAAAGGATTGAAATTACTGCGTGACGGATAGTCGTATCAACACAAATGCCTTACAAATACATTATGGCAATAAGCTGACCTGTACCCTGTAAATATCTTTTTAATACTAAAAATATCTGTTACTATAATTCCTCATTCTCTTTTCATACTTGATACAGCCATAGTCAACATTTATCGAATTTAAAAATAAATTGAATTTAATATAAAGATTCAATGAAATTCTTACGAATTAGCTTTTGAAAATTGACACTTGGTGGAGGCTTCCCGTCTCGACCAGCCATGGGCCCAATTCGAAAGTTCATCAAGTTTATGTAAGATTGCACCATTCCAGAATCGACCGTGTTCACAATTTCTCGCAAATTGTTACGCAGAATCTTCAACCCCGGGAATAAAAATTGGTTCGTTAATTCGGAAATTTCCTCGATGTAATCGCTCATGTTCTGTAATTACATATTGAAACGTATTCATCTTCACTGCTTCGTTTCTCGTGAAACTATATTAATTTCCTCATGTATCTGAATGTTGAGGTCTGGTTGCGTGCTATTAGAGGTATGTTCGTTCGTAGGATGCTTACTTTGGGTAATCGCCTGATCCAGCAATTAATGAGAGGTTCGAGACCTAAAGCTTCTGGTTCTAAGTACACCATACCGCATCTGTGGATGTAGAGTGAGTAAAATATAAATTCTTCTTTGGAATTAATACAATATATTATTAGGTGAAGTAGGTTAACAATGTTAGTCAGCACCTGAATATTCCAATATTTGTATTTATAAAAAGAAATCCATTATGTTTGCATGAAATTGAATGCAAAAATAATGGATTTCTTTTTACTTCACCTAATATAATATATAATATAGTAGAATAATAAATTATTCATTATTTATTATCACTGTACAGTATTTAGTGTATACCGTAGAGTGTGCTTCCTTAAAGCTATACTATTTACAATACTTTCATTGCAAAAATAGGAAAATTTTTTCAAGATCATTTAATTTCCAATTTTTATTTTTATGGCTGCGTACTCATTTTTGCAAGTCATTCAAATTACATGCAAAATGCTTTTTGCATTATCATAATTGGAGCAAATAATAATGGGATAGCATGTTTCAGGTGGTACATAAAATACATGTATCATAGAATATATTATACTTTACTTAAGAACATTATACTATCACGTTTATAATATAAATTCAATGTAATAAATTATACATTATTGCATATGACATACGATATTACGTCTATTTATACTGTTTATACTATTTTCTATACTATAATGATATTTATAAAATACTATAATGTCTATTTATACTATTTTCTATATTATAATGCTATTTATAGAATACTATAATGTCTATTTATACTATTTATACTATTTTCTATATTATAATGTCTATTTATACTATTTATACTATTTTCTATATTATAATGCTGTTTATAGAATACTATAATGTCTATTTATACAATGAATTTATATAATATAAATTCAATGTAATAAATTATACATTATCGTATATGACATACGATATTACGTCTATTTATACTATTTATACTATTTTCTATACTATAATGCTATTTATATAATACTATATTGTCTATTTATACAATTTTCCACGATATAATACACACGACGCGTTATTGTACATTATTCGACGATATTTGATGGCAGAAATTAATTTTCATTACACTGATGGTTTACAGAATACTTGAAAATTTGATGTGTAACAAATGTATCCTGCACTGCGGACGTCATTTATTATCTTTGACACGCTTTCTTATTTCGACCTTTATTTTCTTCATGGCGAACGATGATTGATGCGGATCAAACGATGATTGATTCGTCTCTTCCCAGCTAGATTTCAAATAATAACAGTGTCTCGACCGCTTTGGTGTAAAAAGTATTTAAGGCCAGTCAGCCGAAACAGGATTTTCAGTATGTTGAAAGCAAAAATATTCTCTAGAACTATATACAAACATAACATAAATTCCTAACGAAATTCTATATATATTTTATTAATAAAATTCGATGACATAGTTATCGTGGAGACACAAGTCGCAATAGTTGGTGACGATGTTTAATCATCAATCATCCTACACCTCTGTATATATCAACACTAGGTTTACAGACCCTATCTGTATACCAATTTCTACATATTTGACTCCTCTCAACTAATTCTATAAAATAACAAGGATTAAACGCGAATGCTCTTCGATTAAAATACGTGATTACGTGATTGGGTATGACATACCAAATGGAAATGAAAAAATCGCGGGAATTTTGGACGAATTTTTGCAAAATAATTTAACCCTGGAAGGGTTAGAATGGCAGGAAGCAATAAGCAGGATTTAACACTAGGTTTACAGATGCTAGCTGTACACCTATTTCTAAGGACACCTGTCAAATTGACAGGTAAAGGAAACCACGATTAGTTTAATTTAAAAACAATTATATATTATATTAACAGTCTTGATATAAGTTAACTAAATCTGTTACCATCGTATAATTGCAGCAACCCTTCCGTCAAATTCACGGGTTCCGTAAATCTAGTGTTAAACGTTTCACGTTGCCGAGCTGTCGATCTCATCCGTTTCAAAACTGACAATAATGCAGCTGTGAATTAGGCTTGTCAATTATTCGAGTGTTAATTAAAAGTGAATGATTATTCGAGGTTAACCTTGAAACAGTAGCTGGAGAAGCGACTCTGAGATCAGCGACTTCGGACATCATCGTCATTGTTGGCAGGATCTTCATTATCTCACCAGATGTCAGACAAAGCTTCTTATTGTCGTCCAACACTGTATTCATGTTCTCGATCCATACAGCATCCACGGGTCCGTCGAATATGTACCAACGTTTATTTAAATCGCTCATGGCAATCCCGGCTCTGAGTAACGTCGAGAAAATTCCATCGGTCCTGAGGGAAACAAAAATTGTTACTGCATAATTGCAAAATAAATATCGTAGCGTTCTATTCATCGAATCCCTTCGATGTCCTAGAACGCTCATCACGCGCCGAATTAATATTGCGTGACTAGTTGTAATAATAAAGATCCCGAAGTGTGCGTTGATAAAAGAGAGCGTTTATTTATAGAAAAGCATAGAATAGTTATAATGGAGACGTTGAACGGAGTACCGTTTCGAACACGCGTTTATACGTGTAAGTAAGATGTTTCAAGGATCGGTGTCGAAGACGAACTGATTTCTCGAATTTAATCTATGCCGTGTCTCGTCGTGTCCTGTCCGGTGTTTTCTCCAGTTTAGTTCTGATTCGGCAAAATGAACGTTGGTGGTGGAAAAGTAAGGAGTTTTAATTGGACAGAGGGTGTGACGGAAGGACCTTTGGCTAAGGAGTAGGAAACTGTCAAGGAGCCGATTTTTGACGGTCAATGACGTGATTCATAGTGGTGTCCGTCTGTCGCTTGTTGGATCTGTCACACGTGGGTCCCATCTGTCGAGTCTGGTACTTGTAAAAATTCCTAAACTTTCGCCTTTACCTTTACAACTTAATCCGCTAGAACGGCGGTGAGGCACATCTATCCTTCGGAATTGCAGTCGCGATATAAAATATATTGCAAACCGTTAGGTCTGTTAAAAGTGTAATCCTTAGAATAAGAATCATGTTATAAACACGCTCTCCGGAACGGAACAAATAAATTAATTAAGAGGATGTTCTCGTAAATTGGCTTAAAAAAATCATTCTTTTTCTTTCTACATTTTCTCAAAATCGGCAATATGGATTTTCCTGATGAATAATAATACCACCGGAACGATATTTCAAGGATTGACAAGATGCTTTTGAAAATGTTCGTGTGAAAGGATTTGTTCGAGTTCGTAGTATTAGCGAAATTATGGATATTTCGGCCACCTTCTCAATAGCATAATACAGATTAACCGTTTCCAAAAGTGCCGTGTATAATTGGAATAAAAATAGAAATAAGAGAGGATTTGTTCGAGTTTGTAACATTAGCGAAGCTGTAGATGTTTAACCCTACTACGGGTGACTATAGTCACCGGCCGAGACGCCATCTGCAAACGACGGGGAACTACAGTCACCGGTCACGAGACGCCATCTAGACAGACGGGGAACTATAGTCAGCGGCCACAAAAATGGAGTAAAAAATTAAGACGAGTGCTACCGTTTCTCTTAACTCTTTTCGCAAAGAATTGCAAGCTCTATTGCGATGCTCAGCTTTTCCTTTTCTTTTTTTCTCCCAAAAATTTGCGTCAAAAGATCGAATGCTAAAGATTGTACTATCGTGTTGTTACCGGTGTTACCACCTTTGACACGTCGATTTGTTCTACGGGAGAGACTTCGCGACGCCCGCCATAGCGAAATTGTTAATGCGGAAAAACGCATTTAATATATGTGGGATTGGAATAAGTACGGCCCTGGAAGAATGATAAGTGTGTTTGGGCTTAGAACGAAAGAGACCGCGTGCGAGAGGATCGATTGCAATGAATCTTTATGAAAGTTTATGAATGCCCCTGACTGTTTAGAATACGTGACCGACCGATCGAGAAGAGAGAACGTGGATACAGATGAGGACAGAGTGAATGCTTAAATAAGGGTGCAAGAGCGCGGGCAGACCAGTCCTTAACGGTCCCAGAGATAGTGTCTAAGTAAAAGTCGAGCGTACCCGTAGCGGGTCTCTAGTTTCGTAGCCAATAAGTATAAGTTTATTGTATTTTAAGAAGCAGTAAAACAACGTTACTTTAGCCCATCCACCCACCCCGATCCTACATATATTATGGTACATTCGTGACCTATACATATGAAACGTTTTTCATCAAAAATAATTCGCTGATCCTTTCCAAAGCGTAATACAGTTTAACCTTTTCCAAAAGGTACCGTGTATAATTGGAATAAAAGTATGAATAATTGGGAGAAAAATATATTCGAAAAAGGAGCTTGCTACAACGATACTTGCGTGAATAACGTAGCATAAAATAATAATAGCCTAACTATTATATAATAATACAATAATAAAATAAATATTTTATTTTATTATGCTATATAATTATATAATAAATATTACAACGTAGTAATTATTAGATTACATACGTAGTTTAGAAAAATCGAAAATGCACCTATCGGAAATGCACTATCGAAAGCTGGATGAAACAGTGTTATTTTGCAAGCAGAAAAGCTCGTTTCTCTCGTGACGTATGTAGTTTCCATGAGAGGGAATTTCTGACAATATTTTCCATGTATAATTTCCATGTATGTTTACGATGGAATAACCTTATGCTATCTAGGTGTGTTTGTTTGAAATAAAACAATTACGTTACGTGATTCTCATGCGTGGATATCTGTCCTGCAATCCGAAATTTCGTTTTCATGCTAGAACCGTGTAAAATTCTGTTATGAGCATTTCTCTATTTGTAACCTTTAACCCTTTGCACTCGAGGGGCACCCTCCAGTCGCCATTAGATAAAATTTTAAAAGTCGATATTAATTAATACGTCAAATTTAAGATAATGTAACGGTGTGAGAGGTATCGAAATCAAATAATTTTATGTGTCAATTATTATACGATTCCTTATTTACTGCTGGATAAAATATCGTCAGCTTTATAGCAGAAAATCTTTGATAAAATTAGATAAAATTTCGAAGGTCGATGTTAATTAATAGGGTAAAATTTAAGGTAACGCAAGGGTGTGCGAGGTATCAAAATCAAATAATTCTACGTGTTAATTATTATACGATTCCTTATTTACTGCTGGATAAAATATCGTCAGCTTTATAGCAGAAAATCTTTGATAAAATTGGATAAAATTTGGAAGTTCGATATTAATTAATACGTCAAATTTAAGATAATGTAACGGTGTGAGAGGTATCGAAATCAAATAATTTTATGTATCAATTATTATACGATTTCTTATTTACTGCTGGATAAAATATCGTCAGCTTTATAGCAGAAAATCTTTGATAAAATTAGATAAAATTTCGAAG